TCTTGGCTTTCCATGCCTGAAATACTCTCATGGGCTTTTCAGCCAGATCGGAATGCCTTTAGGGCTGATTCTGAGGCCAGAGTGCTGTTTAGGACATCCACCATTCTATGAGTCTGCTGAGTATCTCGCTTCCCATGTTGGATCACTCTCCCCTTTATTTATTTTATCTGTTAGTATTAGCAGGTACTAGACTTGTTTATGTGCTCCCTTTGATCTTTGTTTAGTTTTTTTAAAACAGACGCTTTATTGTCTTCTGTAGCACCTGCACCATTTTATACTCCCACAGAAATGCACAAGTTACCAATTTCTCCACATCCTTGCCTACAGTTGCTATTTTCTATTTTTTTTGAAGTTGTCATTCTCCTAGGTATGGAATGGATTTATGTTTTTCTGATGGAAAGTAATGTTGAATGTCTTTTCATGTGCTTATTGATCATTAGTGTATCAAGTCCTTTGTCCTGTTTTAAATTGGATTTTTAAAATATGTTTTGATTTATTTTTGTTTCAAGAGTTGAATGTCAGGGAGGGAGGGAGGCAGAGAGAGAAAGAGAGAGTGGAGAGAGAGAGAGAGAGAGTGAGAGAAAGAAATAGTCCATCTACTGGTTCTCTTCCCAAGTGCCCCCAACAACCAGGGTGGAACCAGGCTAAACCTGAGCCAGAAACTCTATCTGGGTCTCCCATCCAAGTACTTGAGCTGTCACCTGCTGTCGTCTAGGATGTGTATCAGAAGAAAACCGGATTGGAGGTGGAGGTGGGGCTTGAGCTGAGGCACTGTAATATGTGTTGCAGGCATTTAAATTGGTGGCTAAAAGTATTGTGCCATAATGCTCACCTCCTAGATTTTTGTTGTTGCTGTTGTTGAGTTTTACAAGTTCTTTACTTACTCTTGATATTAATCCTATTCAAAGTTTTGCTGATCCTTCTACTGGGCAAAAACTTTGGATATGTATTGTAGACATTTTACCCTGGTGTTTGGGTTGCCTTTTCACTTTCATAATGGAGCCTTTTAGTGGATTTTTTAATTTTAGTGTAGTCCTTGATGTATATTTTTTTCCTGTAGAGTTGGTTATTTTTTGTGTATTGTTTAAACACTTAATACCCAAGGTCTTGGAAATATCCAGTAGTTTATTTATTTATTTTTGTTTGTTTGTTTCCAGAAATTTTGTTATTTTACCTTTTACATCTGGATTTTCTTTTGGTGTATAGGTTGGGTAGAGGTCAGGATTTTTTCTATACCATACAGAATCCACTGACAGCAGTAGTCATTTAAGACTGTCTTTCCCATTGTATATAACCTATTGCATATCTTATTTCAAATGGGTGAACTGTGTCATATTTTGTATGTGTTTCTGAATTCTCTGATCTGTTCCAGTGATACTTGTTTATCTTTCTGTTGGTGTCATGTTGTCATAGTTATTGCAGCTTTATGTATCTTGATATCTGGTAATGTGAGCTATCTAGCTTATTTTAATTCTTGTCCCCTCACCTTTCCATATAAATGTTATGATCCAGTTGCCAGAGTCTTAACGAAAAAAAAACCACACTTATTAGTATTTTTATTAAATTATATTGAATCAACAAATTTCTCCAGAGTAAATTGTAATCTTTTTTTGCTTTTTTTAAAAAAATATTTATTTATTTATTTGAAAGGCAGAGTTATAGAGAAGCAGAGGTAGAGACAAAGAGGTCTTCTATCTGCTGGGTCACTCCCTAGATGACCACAATGGCTTGAGGTACACCGATCTGAAGCCAGGAGCTAGGAGCCTCTTCCGGCTCTCCCATGTGGGTGCAGGAACCCAAGGACTTGGGCCATCTTCTACTGCTTTCCCAGGCCACAACAGAGAGCTGGATTGAAGTGGTGCAGCTGGGACTTGAACTAGCGCCCATATGGGATGCTGGCACTGCAGGCAGCAGCTTTACCCACTACACAATGGCGTCGGCCCCTAAATTGTAATCTTTGAATATTGCATTTTATAACCCATATATATGGTATTTTTTGTTTATCTTAGTGTTTTCAGTTTTTTTTTTCTAACTAAAGTTGTACAGTTTTCAATGTGGAGATCTCATTCATCTTTTGTTAGATTTACTACTAGATGTTTAATATTAATTAATGCTATTGTAAATGACATTTTTTGTTGCAGATATGTAGAAACAAGAATGACTTTGTGTCCTGCAGTTTTGGTAAATTTACTTAATTCTAGTAATTAGTTGTGTTTTTTTTTGTGTTCAGATATATGTTGCCTGAAAATAATGAGAGTTTTCCTCCTTCACAATCCTTATGCTTCTTATATTTTTCTTTCATCATTAGACTGGTTAGGACATGTAATATAATACTGATAGAAGTAGCAGTAAAATTACATCTTTATCTTCTTTATTATTGCAGAAGAAAATTTTTCAAAACTTCACCATTATATGGGTGATATTTGCTGAAGATCTATTATAGATACTCCTTATCAGAATCAGGTAGGTTTTTTTTTTTATTGCTAGAATGGTAACAATGTATTTTTTAAATCATGAATTTTTGTTAAATGTTTTCAGTTGCTTCTTTTGTATATATTGTAATAATATAATTCCTCTTGCTTTTCACTTAATTAAATAAAACTCTTTTTAGAACACTTTATTCATGTTTAAAGTTGTACATATTTATTGTATATGTCTTGATGAGTTTGGTAATAAGTATTCACCCATGAATTATCAGTACCATCAAAGCCATAAATATTTCCATCAGTTCTCAAAGTTTCCTTCTGTCCCTTTAATTATTGTTTAAGTGTTTTCTTTTTTGGCAATGGTGTATTTACAATCTGCCTTGGTAATAAATGTGAAGTATAAATTACAGTATCATTAGCTACATACACTCTAGAAATTATTTGTCTTTCATAACTGACACATTATCCCTTTTGTTTAACAGCTCCCCATTTCCAATTTCCCCCAGCTCCTAGCAACCATCATTATAGTCTCTCTGATATCATTGTTTTCTATCTTTGTTCTCTTATACAACACTGACCTTCTTTAAGATGATCACTTTGTTACTTTGACTTCATCAGGCAATTTTTTTTTTTTATTTGACAGGTAGAGTCACAGACAGTGAGAGAGAGGGACAGAGAGAAAGGTCTTCCCTCCGCTGGTTCACTCTTCAAATGGCCACCATGGCCGGCACTGCGCCAATCCGAAGTCAGGAGCCAGGTGCCTCCTCCCAGTCTCCCATGTGGGTGCAGGGGCCCAAGCACTCGGGCCATCCTCCACTGCCCTCCTGGGCCACAGCAGAGAGCTGGACTGGAAGAGGAGAAACCGTGTCTAGAACCTGATGCCCATGTGGGATGCTGGCGCCGCAGGCTGAGGATTAACCAAGTGAGCCAAGGCGCTGGCCCCTATCAGGCAATTCTTAAGTCTCCATTTCTTTAGAATCAGTCACCAGGACTTTGGTGAAGTCATTTTTTTTCTTCCTTTGGTGGTGCCATGTTTTGTTGCTTTGTCTTGAAATCTGCCATTTCTTGTTTGCATTTGAATAATCACTTCCTTCAGTTTTATGACCTTCAGAATAGAAAGATCTTCACCAGTGAGTCTTTATCTAGAAATTCTAGAAATCAGATGTTTTCAACTACTGTGATCCTCTTGTTCATCTTTATGGGGATAGTTGTATCTAGGCCTGGTGTTTAGGTGTTTAGGTGCTCTGATGTCTTCAGAGTTTCACCTTCTCCCAATTCAGCAGAGTTGATCCACCTACAGAGATCTGGTACCTGCTATTGAGATGTGTGCTGTATTCATGGCAGACTTGTGTGCATCATTTTGGGGGACATACATGTGCTTTGAACAGGGATACATTGGACCCTGGCCAGGGCAGTTGCACGGGGTGCTGGTGGCATGGTCAGCTGACTGAGAGGATGCACAGGTGAGCTGCCCTGTGAGATTTATGGATGGACCTCTGGTGAAGTCTGCAAGTTGGTTAGATCCAAGACCAGCTGCTGTGATCCACATACTGAGTGCTGTGAGTTTCTGTCTCTTCTTCCTGCTACCATTTACCAAGTGATTCAGGTGTAGGAACGATAAATGTGGTCTTCCAGGGCAGTGTCCAGCAAAGTGAGTGAAGGCAGGAACAAACTTTACTCTCTGTTTCTTTTGTGGAAGACTTTTCTAGGTCAAAGCTGTGTCCCAGCACCAAATTGTGCTGCTTTTAGGCAAGAGATGGCAAGGGTGAAATGAAGCTGCAGTTTGTACCTTCTTCAATGATTCTGTCCTCAGATGCTTTTTATCAATGATAGTTCTAGAAGCAGCTAGACCCTGGATGCTCATGAAGATATTTTTGTACGTGGGTAGTTGACAGTTACATATATTCCATCTTTTTAAGAAATAGATCTTTGTGTCCATGTTCATTAAAGATTAGTCTGTAATTTTCTTTTCTTGTAATGTCCTTGTTTGGTTGTGAGACTAATGTTATCTTCACATTATAAATTAGATAGAAATGTTTACTTCTTTTCTATATTCTGGAAAAATATGAGCTTTAAATATTTGGAGGAATTAAATATTTGGAGGAATTCATTGGTGAAGCCATCTGGGCATAAAGATTTCTTTATAGTAAAGTTTTAATACGAAATTCAATTTCTTTTATAGACAAAGTAACATTCAGGTTTTTAACTTTTCCTTGCTTTAGTTGAATATTTTTTTATTTTAAATAAATGTATACTTTTAATCAAAATTGATTTCTTGCTTAAATCTGTTGTGTACTGAGAGTATATTTTGAATGATTATAATTCCTTGGCGATTAAAAAAATTTAATTTGTTTTATGACCCAGCATATAGTAAATTTTGGCAAATGTGTAAATGCATTGTTGATTTGATATTTTCCTTTGCACAGTGATAGACCTAGTTGTTCTGTATGCTACTAATAATGGTGTTTTAGATTCTCCTATATGTTTGTGGATTTGTCTATTACTTCCTTTGGTAATGGTCAATTTTTTCTTTAAATATATTGAAGCTCTTTTACTGAATACACACCAATTTAGACTGCTGTTTCTGTCAAATAGATGGATGCCTTTGTGACAATTAGATCGCCGTTTTGGGGGGAATCTGGTAATTATATCTTAAAGTCTAGGTTATCTTGTATTAATGTAATTTTTTAATGTTACAGAGAACATGTTTATTTGAGGGAGGGGAGGAGGGAGGAAGAGAGAGAGAGAGAGAGAGAGAGAGAGAGAGAGAGAGAACGAACACTCCCATCCCATGAAAAGAGAGAGCTTCCATTCACTGGTTCACACTTCAAAATCTTGCAGCAGCTAAGACTGGGCCGGGCTGAAACCCTGAGCTGGGGACCCAATCCAGGTCTTCACGTGTGGTAGAACACAATGATCTTTTATTACTGTCTCCCTGGATCTGCAATAAAAGAAAGCTGAAATTGCAAACCAAAGCCAGAACTCTAGCCTAGGCACTCTAATATGTGATGTGGGTATCTCATCTTTACAAAAAATTACATATGTTTTAATTTATTTGAAAGACAGAGTGGCAGAGAAGGAGAGACAGAGAATGAGAGATCTTCCCTCTACTGCTTCCCTGCCCAAATAGCTGCAATGGTTGGTGCAGGGCCAGGTGAAAGTTCCAGGAGCTTGGAACTCCAGGGGCCCAAACACTTGGATCATCTTCTACTGTCTTCCCAGGTACATTAGTAGGAAGCTAGATTGGACAGAGCAGCTGAGACAGGAAGGAACTTCTGCTCCTATATGGGATGCTTGTATAACAGGCAGCAGCTTAACCTGCTGTGCTACAAAACCAGCCTCTGTGTATCTCATCTTAACCTGTAGGATAAATGCTTGCCCCATATTAGTATAATTGTACTAGCTTTCAAAAATTGTAGTTTTCTGCATGGTATGTCTTTTTACACTTTTTTAAAAAGCAAATTTTCTTAAATTTAAAATGTTTCTTCTGTATGTAAATAGATTTAGTGTTTAGATTTCTAAATGTACTTTGATAATCTTAGATTTTATAATATTTGACTAATTTAATATAATGATTTATGTTCATAGTTATCACCCATTACTTGTATTCTATATGGCATACTCTTGTGACATATAACTTGTCTATTACTAGCCTTTTAATGGTTAACCAGGTGATAAGAAATTTGTATCCTTACTTAACTATTATGTGAAAAAGGTAGTTACTTAGTTTGCTTTCTTTCCTTTCCCTTAAAAATATTAGTTGCTGTGATCCTGCCCTCATTTTTTGTTATTATTGAAATGCATATTAATTCTAGACAAAAATAAAACTTTGAAAACTTTAATAATATTAATAAGTATTAGGGTCTCCAAGATGGTGGAATAGGGAGGGAACTCACTGATAGTCCAGGAAAAGATAGTTTAATAAAAGTGGAGACAGTGAAGTCTCAGGGAAGAGTTAGGGAAAAAAACTGAAGAGGAAACTCTTCTGGAATTAGAGGGACACAGTGGATCTATGTGAAGGACACGGGCGCCCACGGCTCAGGAGCCCAGCTGCCAAGAATCCTCTCCCCCACACCAGCGCTGGAAAGAGAGGTGAGACGGAACCGCAGTAGCCTGAGACACTGTCAGAAAAGTGGCAGTTAGAGCCTAGAGGGAACGAGGCTTGAAGCCCTGTGCAGGAAAGTACACCAGCAAAGGCGGCCATTGGAGGGGGAACCAACAGCAAAGGAAGACCTTTCTCTCTCTCTCTCTCACTGTCCACTCTGCCTGTCAAAAAAAAAAAAAAAAAAAAAGAAGAAAGAATATCGGACTTAAAAGACAGAGCACAAGAAAGTATACAGACAAATCAAAGAAAAGAAGAGGAAATTAGAAATCTAAAAAATATTGTTGGGAATCTTCAGGATACTATTAAAAAAGCCAGCATTCATATTCTAGGAGTTCCTGAAGGCATGGAGAGAGAGAAAGGATTAGAAGGCCTTTTTAGTGAGATACTAGCAGAAAACTTCCCAGATTTGGAGAAGGAAAGAGACATCCAAGTTCAGGAAACACACAGAACCCCCAATAAACATGACCAAAAGACATCCTCAGCAGGACACATTGTAATCAAACTCATCAGAGTGAAACATAAAGAAAAGATTCTAAATGTGCAAGAGAGAAATGTCAGATTACTCTCATAGGATTTCCAATTAGACTCACAGCAGACTTCTCATTTTTTTTTTTTTTTTTTTTTGGTATCCTCTCCTATTTCTTTCTTTAAGATTTTGTAATCTCATCATAAACATCTCTGACATCCTTGGATGTCAAATAGATGGGTTTTGTTTTTTAATCCATTCAGCCAGTCTGTGCCTTTTAACTGGAGAGGTGGGGGCATTTACATCAATGTGACTATTGATAAGTAGTGACTTTGCCCTGCCATTTTTCCAAAGATATTTTAATATGTATGTTGACCAGAGTGTCAAAGGGTTACGGTTATTCCATTAAGCAGGAAGGATAGCCATATGTGTGTTTGGACAGGCAGTTATAGTTGCATAAGTGCTA